GTAGAAGTTGGGCCAACTACTAACGAGACTGCCTGCTCGCCCAACTTCACCGACCCTCACCGATTCACAGTACCGATTCACGCTATCGATCGGGCTCGGACGAATAAGGAGGGTACAGCGACGGATCGCCCAGTACTGATTCACGGGAAAATACAAGGAGCAGCAGTGAAGATTTTTATAGACGGAGGTGCAAGTCACAGCTTAGTTAATACCGCGACTGCAAGGAAGCTACAACTGACACTTAGTCGGTGCTTACCAGAGATCGATGCACGCTTAGTTGACGGAACGCCGCTGGCCATACGGGAGAAAGTGGAAAAGGTAAAAGTCTGCTGTGGGGGGAATTTCGGGTTTACACAGGATTTGCTCGCGACGACATTGGATGGGCACGGCATTTTACTGGGACGTGATTGGCTGCGACGATACAACCCGCGAATCGACTAGACGACAGGCAGCTGCACTGTGCGAAGTAGCGGTAACCGGGTGGAGCTACCTCGCTGGCAATCGCCTGAGTCTTCAACGGTCCACGTCAACGCCATCACGATGAAACGGGTTGTCGCCACTGGAGCTGACCTGTACGCAGTGGATATCGCGATAGTGGAAGAAGCAGACAAGCCGAGTGATTTTCAGAAACTACTAGCGGCAGTACCATCGGAACTACAGGAACTGTTGAAACGATTCCCGGGAATCTTCCCTTACGACTTACCCGAGGGACTGCCACCTCAGCGGGCGCACGATCATCGAATAGAATTAGAGCCCGGGGCACAGCCAACCGTACAGCGACAGTGCAGACTGACACAGCCCGAGCTCGACGAGCTAAGGAAGCGTTAGATTACCTGTTAGAGAAAAAGTTCATCCGACCGAGCTCATCGCCATTCGCCGCACCGATACTGTTCACACCGAAAAAGGACAGCGGGTTTCGCATGTGTATCGACTACCGAGCACTGAACAGGGTTACAGTTAAATCGCGATACCCCATCCCCCGCGCTGACGAACTGATAGATCAACTGCGCACAGCACGATTCTTTTCGAAAATTGACTTACGGGGAGGTTACCACCAGATTAGGGTCGAACCGTCGGACTGCGCCAAAACAGCTTTTAGGACTAGGTACGGGTCGTTCGAATACACGGTGGTGCCTTTCGGGCTGACCAACGCACCGGCGACTTTTCAGATGACGATGAACGAGGCGTTTAGGCCGCTCTTAGATAAATGCGTAATCATCTACCTCGACGACATCCTAGTCTACAGTCGGGATATGCAGCAGCACTTAGAAGATTTAGAAGCAGTATTTACCGTTCTAGACAAACACAGACTACTGACAAAGGGTTCCAAGTGCGAGTTTTTTCAGGACAGGCTAGAGTTTTTGGGGCACGTTATATCGGAGGCTGGTGTAGAAATTGACCCGAAGAAATTGGACACGGTAAAAGCGTGGCACCCCCCGACGAACATCACGGAACTGCAGAGTTTTTTGGGTTTTGTTAATTACGTGCGCCGGTTCGTCCCCGACATGGCACGCTTAACGGCCCCGCTTACTGATTTGCTGAAGTATGGGGTCGCTTTTACGTGGGGGGAGAAAGAGCATGCTGCCTTCTCCACCCTAAATAATGTTCTCTATTCACCGCCGGTACTGCGCATCGCCGACCCACACCGCCCATTCGAAGTGGTTACTGATGCAAGCGACATCGCCATCGGAGCCGTACTGCTCTAGGACTTCGTCAACGGGTTACAGCCCATCGCCTACGAATCACGAAAGCTGCATCCGCCCGAGAAGAATTATCCGATACACGATCGCGAAATGCTTGCGATCGTGCATGCATTCAAAGTGTGGCGCTGTTACTTGACTGGCGCCGACGTGACAGTACGGACAGATCACAAGTCACTACAGTACCTCCGCGCACAACCCCACCTCAACCCACGACAAATCCGCTGGCTCGACTACCTCGAGTCGAATTTTCACTACATGGTCACCTACAAAAAAGGGGCATCGAACATCGCCGACGCATTAACCAGACCCACAGCCCAAGTTCACGCCATACTACTCGCCCAGACCAGCCCACTGTTAACAGGCCTATTTACCCACGGTTACCAAACCGATCCATTTTTTATAGGCGGAAACTCGCAGCAGTTTGCAGCAGCAAGAGGAGTCTATTACGTAAAAGCTGGCACTGATCGCATCTGGGTACCGGGCTACACGCTTCTACGGGAATTACTGTTGCAGGAGGCACGCGACGGAGTTACCTCAGGGCATTTCGGAGTAGAGAAAACACGGCACCAGCTACAGCGGTACTACTACTGGCCCGAAATGTTGACCGATGTGCAACGACATGTGGCATTGTGTCCCACCTGCCAGGTCATGAAATCATCACGGAAGCGGCCGGCAGGACAATTGCAGCCGATACCACCCCCAGAGCGTGCTTGGCAGCAGGTGACGATAGACTTCGTCACGGGGTTACCGGCGGGTGCAAATGGGAACGATGTGATCCTGGTCGTCGTCGATCGACTGACAAAAATGGCACATTTCGCAGCATGCAAGAAATCAATCACAGCCGAAGAAACGGCCCGCCTCTTCATCGCAACCGTTGTTCGATTACACGGGATACCAGCAGCGATAATCAGCGACCGAGATACGAAGTTTACCAGCAATTTCTGGCGGAACCTGTGGCAGCAGTTCAGCACGAGGCTGCAGTTCAGTTCTTCGTACCACCCCGAAACCGACGGACAGACAGAACTGACAAATCAGACCATGGAACAGTTAATCCGAGCCACGTGCGACGACCCCACCACCTGGGAGCAGCAGCTACCACTAATCAAATTCGCGTACAACAACTCGCCATCCGCCACGACCCAACAGTCCCCATTTTACCTAAACTACGGACAAGACCCCACAGTACCCATGACCCCGAATCCCGACAACCTGGTGCCACGAGCACAACAATTCGCCGAAATCCTACAGGAAGCACGGACCCGGGCAGCAGACGCAATTAAAAAGGCGAACGTTATCGCTAAGCGCAACGCCGACCGCCACCGCCGACCCGTCACTTACCAGCCCGATGACTTAGTCCTACTCGACACTCAAAACCTCCGCCTGCCCATAACTCCGAAACTCCGCCCCCGATATTGTGGGCCATTCCGCATCAGCCACATGGTCACTCCAGTCACCGCCCACCTCCTCCTCCCCGCTGACTGGTACGTCAGCCCCTCCTTCCACGTCAGCCTGCTTCGCCCCTACATCCCATCCACCAGCCAACTGGCCCGACATCGCCCAACCAGCATGACCCGACCACCGACCGAGCCAGTCATCATGCCCGAAAAGATTCTGAGCCACCGAGTTCGTGACCCACGAGGAGCCCGAAGGGTCGAATTTTTAATACACTGGAGAGACCGCACACCCACCGAGGACAACTGGGTTCCCCTGGACAAAATCGAAAACCACCCCGTCCTCAACGACTACTTGCGCAGCAGAAATTTCCGGGATATACACGCGCTCTCGTAAGGGAGGCCTCCTTGAGGGGGGGGGGGGGGGGGGGGGGGGGGGTGGGAGGGTAGTGTAAGGAAAATTCCTTTTCCTTACTTCGCGTCCTTGCTTAGCGCGTACAACACTGACAGCACCCCACAGTATTCCGTTACCACTCGCGAAATTCGCCTCGACACCATTCCCGCCACTGTTCACGATGCGACCCAACCACACGGTTCGGTTGGTAACCCGTGTTCCGGACCTCCGCCTCGACAGTTTCCCAAACCTCGGCATTAGGCCCGTCGCGCCCCCCATTTTCCCACGTTACCGTTAGCACCGTAGTTTCGCTATATATTCTTCGCTCATTCCTTTGCTCATTGTATCTTGTCTCGATAGTGCAATCCTCGCTCGCTCACTCAATTGCACTTGTAACAATATAGAAGAACAAACAAATCCAGAATATTATCTCTTCAAACGATTTCATCGAGTATTGTTCAATCGAGAGTCTGGTTGCCTGGACTACAGCGATCAAATGGCCCTGCGACTTCGCTAACGATCGTGAAAGCTACTCTTCAACAGTGCATGGAGCTGCCCCTTTCAGGCAACGTCTTTTTCATTTGTCTTCGGCTGAATGCATGCCTGCAAGTCAGATTAGAAAAACGTTAGGGCGCGTACCCTGCCTCGATCGATCGCGAGATCGCCGTTAACAACCGATCGGGCACACCGATCGCAGGATTGGGGTGGGATTGGTAGGAGGTGACAGTCGGGGATCGATCCCGAGCCCAAGGTGACAGGTTCGAAAATACAAGGGGGAAAAAATCTCGATCCTACAAAAGCCGATATCGGTGTGGCCACGAAGGCACATCGATCGTCATCAGCGGAGGGGACAAGATCGTTGGGCACCAGTTACTGTACATTCGCAACCCATCTCGAAATCAGGATACATTGTCAATTGCGACACTGTAGCTGTCCCTCGATCGATCGAGGGCAGGATCGATCGAGGGCAGGATCGATCGAGGGAGGGGACGCGCCCTTACCCTTGGGAATTCCGATTAGACACACCACGATGACTGATCCTCTGTCATCAGAGATCCTCTAGTTAGTAAGTCACGCCTGATGCCTCGTCTCGTCCAAATGTCAGGTCTTCCTGGTTGAATGTGCGCGAATGGGATGTTGGCACTGGGAGTCAGATTTACATCCCTGAGTTTCACAGCCCTGCCAAAGCCGACCTTGGAGTTGGATTCCCGACCAGTGAGCCAATCACTGAAGCATCCAGTCGAGGCTCCCGTCTGTCAGTCATTCGGTGCCTGTATATCGTATCTGGTGTCTCTTCTATAACATTCGCGTTAGATTTAGTCCAAGTAGTCGACACTCTTCTCGCTCTCTCTCTGTCAAATTTTCGCAAGTCTATAACCCCGCAACTTCCGCATCCTCCGTGCGTGGAGCACGGAAATTCACCCTTACTCGCGTGATTCACGCTGACGGATCGTAACCCTCACCCTCGCCGTCACCGTCACCGTCATCCTCACTTTCCCGGGTGAAGGGGCCATGGCGGTGGGATCGCGGGGACGGCCTCGTCCTGCTAGCAACGGTCGGCTGTCAGGCGCCGTGCTCGTGCTCATGAGCTGCCTCGCCACGCTCTACACCGGCGGAAGGTGCGTTTCGTCACGCCGCGCCTCTAGAAGACTTTGAGTCGACTCAAAGGTCACCCACGAGCCATGCTCTTGCTCATGAGATCTGCGTCGCTACGCTCTACGCCGGCGGAAGGTGCGCTTTGCTGCCGCGAATCTAGAAGCATAGGTGACGTTTGAGTCGACTCATAAGCTGCCTCCCCACGCTCGGCCTCGCCGCGCTTTACACCGGCGGAAGGTGCGGTCTGCCGCGCCTCTAGAGGCAGCCGGTGCACGTGATACCGGCGGTGGTTGCGTTTCCCGCTCCTCTGAAAGAAACTGCTGCACGCTGCACGCTACACCGATGGAAGGTGCGTTCCCCGGCGCATCGAAACGCCTTGCAACGCCCGATCACCTAGGGAGTGTGGATGGTGATTGCTTTTACAGTCAAACCAAACCCAGTGGCGGATACAGGAGGGTGGACTGGAAGAAAAGTCTCTGATACAGAAACTTCTGATGGCAATGGCCGGCCCATAGAATCCCCTACTTCTGGCGTTAGCGTGGTGTTTGAAATTGAATATTTCCTGTAAGAGCTGTGATTGATTGGCGTGCTGTGTGTGTGGTACCATGCCATGCCACTGTGGTTCTGCCTGCGCTGCGCTGCAGGCTATGGCGAGACGTGCAGGTGCAGAAGAAGCTGCTGCAGGAGGCGAAGGGCATGGGAGCTGGAGGCCAGTCGAAACAAGTGAGCCCCTCGCATGCGGTTTCTGTCCCTGTTGTTGCTGCTCGCTGCTGTCTGTCTGTATGTCTGTTTGTCTGTCTGTCTGTCTGTCTGTCTGTCTGTCTGTCTGTCTGTCTGTCTGTCTGTCTGTCTGTCTGTCTGTCTGTCTGTCTGTCTGTCTGTCTGTCTGTCTGTCTGTCTGTCTGTCTGTCCGTCCGTCTGTCTGTCTGTCTGTCTGTCTGTCTGTCTGTCTGTCTGTCTGTCTGTCAGTCTGTCTGTCTGTCTGTCTGTCTGTCTGTCTGTCTGTCTGTCTGTCTGTCTGTCTGTCTGACTGTCTGTCTGTCTGTCTGTCTGTCTGTCTGCCTGTCTGTCTGCCTGCCTGCCTGCCTTCCTGCTTGCCTGTTGTGATTGCTGCTATCGTTGCCCACCACCACGTGTCAGCAACGTTCTTGCCGTTCAGACCTCTTGCTTACGCTTGCTGGTGTGCCTGTGCGTGCCTATACGTGCCTGTGTGGGCCTGGACGTGCCTGTGCGTGTCTGCGTTGAGGCGAGCAGGATAAGAGCGCCAAACCTCTCTCAGTGGAAGACAGCATACTCACACTCAAGCTCAGGTACTCCTGCCACTGTAGGTGCCTTAGAAGCTCAGCTCAAGTACTCATGCCATTCTTAGGTATTCCCAATAAGCCGTCGCTCAAAATCTCAACCGAAAGGAGTCTAATCGCTCTTATCTGCTCTTTTATTCTCCCTTGCTCTTCTGCTGTCATGAAACGTCTATGAACTTATGAAGTACCTGCTGCTGCTTCCCTCCCCTCCCCATGTGTCTCTCCCCTTCCTGCCTGCCCTCCACTGTCACTTCTCAGGCCTAAACCTCCTCCCCCGCCTCCCACCCCCCTTTCTCCCTCCCTCCGCCCTTTGCCTCGTCGCGCTTCTCCCTTAGGTCTCTGCCCACCTCTTTCGTTTCCCTCCTTACCCTTTTTCTTCTTGCATAACTCCACCCCGGTATGCGTCCCCCGCTCCCTTCCCTTGTCTCTCCTCCCCACCGCCCCCGCTTTCTACCCTGCCTGTCCCCCGTGTGACTTGGTCGCAGGGAACTAGAGAAGCGCCACGCAATGCTACAGGTCCAGATGGCGGAGGCCAAGACACGTGGCTTCATCTCGGCCGTCGGATCGGCCGCCCCAGACACCTTGGGAAGCGGGTCAGGAGGCGGGGGAACGGACGCAGCAGGGCATGCAGGGGCAGTGGCAGGGGGGGAAGGGGCGGCAGGAGGTGGAGGCGCGGGGGGAGCGGGAGGTGCGGGGAGTGGGGCGGGGGGGAGGGAGCGGTTGCTGGTGGCGGTGCTGGTGAGCACTGCGTTTGGGAACAGGCAGAGGCGCGAGGCCATTCGTAGCACCTGGATGCCCACTGGTGCGCTCATGGTTGGGGGTGGGGGAGAGTGGGAGGGGGAGTTGGGGGGAGTCGGGGGGAGAAGGGGGGATAGGGGAGAATGGGGGGGAAGAGGAGAAGGGGGAGGGGGGATGGGAGGGGGGAGAGGGGGGAGTGGGGCTATTGAACAGGGAAGATAAATCGGTTATCGGGCAAGAAGGGAGCTCTGTTGTGGTGTGAGGCTTTAGCACAGATGAGTGGGATGGAATGGCATGAACGGACAGGAACCTTGCACACCGGTTCAGGGCAGTTCATTGGATGCTGCTGGACTGCTTGTCTTGAGGCCAGCACGAATGTCCACAGATCTGCGCAGATCTTTGCACGGAGCTGAACAAATGGACGGCTAGGATGACTGCTTATTTTTGCTTATTTTACAGCTAGTGAGCACATGACCTTGCATGTGCTCAGCTTCCTGCTGGCACTTCTCCTTGTCTTTCTCCTTCTCTTGCCCGTTTTGCCCTTTCTTCTTGCCCTTGCGTCCTCCATCTCCTCGTCTCCCTTCTCATTCCCATTCCTTTCCCCCTTGCCACCCCTGCCTTTCCCGCTCTCCTCACCCACTCTGCCCTCCCTACCCTCCCTCCCCACCCTACCGTCGCACCAGGCACATCTCTGAAAGATGAGATGGGCGTGGTGCTGCTAGCACTTCTGCTTGATACCCTGCTCCTTACCCCTTCCCCCTCCTTCGCTCCTCGCCCTGCTTCCTTCCCCGCCCGCCCTGCCACGACACCAGGAGCGGCTCTGAAGAAGCTGCAAGATGAGATGGGCGTGTTGCTGCGATTTGCAGTGGGCCACAGGTATGTGCGCTCTGCCCTGCCCTGCCCTGCTCTGCACTGCTGTACCTTCCTCTGCTTGGCTGTGCTGTAATCTGCTATTCGGTGCTCTGATGTGCGGTGATGTGTGCTGGGTTCTGGGTACCAGTCACAGGGAAGTTGGGTGAGTCTGTCCAACTCCCCTACCCCCCCCTAATCGAACTAACTCCTTCCAAACGTGGCTTATTGCAGTTTGAACCGTGGTGACTCGTTAGATCGAGCAATGCTGGAGGAGAGAGACAAGTGCAACGATATTGTGGTCATGGTGGGTGGGGAGCGGAGGTATTGTGTGTTGTGTGAGTGTGTCACTCATTGGTAGTTTATCAAATGAAATGCTGGAGGAGAGAGACAAGTGCAACGGTATTGTGGTCATGGTGGGTGGGGAGCGGAGCTACTACTAGTTTTACTAGCGAAGCAAAGTTGTGTGCGTCGCTTGAAGAGTTTCTTAAAAGCGATGCTGGAGGAGAGGGACAAGTGCAACGACATAGTGGCCATGGTGGGTGGGGTGCAGACCCATGGTGTGATAGCGGAGCAATGATGTGTGAGAGCGTTCGCCTCTGCTTGTGTGTCGTGTAACATTGTAAGAACGTGCTTACACTGAGGGGTGCGCGGGTGTGCACGTGGGTGGGTGGGTGGGTGGAAATGTGGTTGTGTGGGTGGAAATGTGGTTGTGTGGGTGAGCAGGACGAGTACGAGGAGGTGGAGAAGAGCGGGGGGCGCAAGGTGAAGCACCTGTTTGAGTATGCTGTGAGGCACTGGGACGCGGATTTCTATTTCAAAGTCAACGACGATGTCTATCTCAGCACCAGTGAGTCTTGACACGTTTTTTTTTCGTTTTTAGACGTTTTGAGACGTTTTTAGACGTTTTGAGGCATCGCTGTGAGGCACCATTTCCATTGCAACTAACAGCATGCGTCACGCACACGGCACGCGGCATCACATGTGCTTCCCGTATCTCTTCTCCCTTAATCGCTCTTCACCCTCCCTCCCCCACCTCCACCCTTTCCCCCGAGTGCAGTGCAGCTGGTGTCGTTCCTTCAGCGCCTCAAGAACCCCTCAGGGCTTTACACGGAACTCTGCTCTCCCAATTTCCCTCCCTCCCCTTCCCTCCTCACCCCGTCACCCCACCCACCCCTCCCCCCGAGTGCAGTGCAGCTGGTGTCGTTCCTACAACGCCTCAAGGACTGCTCAGGGCTGTACATGGGATGCTGCTCTTTCAATCTCCTTTCCTCTCCTCTCCTCTCCTCTCCCCTTTCCCCACACTGCTCCCTCCTCCCGAGTGCAGTGCAGCTGGTGTCGTTCCTACAACGCCTCAAGGACCGATCAGGGCTCTACATGGGATGCTTCAAGTCCGGTGTTGTGGTCACGGAGCCGTGAGTGCGAGGGATTCGGGAGTGTTAGGCTGCGGGAAAGGATGTGGGGAAGGATGGGAATAAGGGTAGCGGGCTACATGATGATGTGGGGGGACAGATGTGTGTGTGGTTCATTCGTTTCGCACTGTTGACGACTCGAATTAATATATTCCAGTGTATATTCCTCCTTCCGTGTTGGTGCTATCCTTCTTATCTCCCTCGCCTTCATAAATGCTCCTTCTCTTTCATCCCCCAATCCCCCCTAGTTCTGTCCCCTCTCCATTACCCATCCCTCCCCCTTCTGTTCCACTTCCCTTCTCACGTCCTCCCATCCCCCTTCCCATCCCTCTCCCCAACTTCCTCTCCCCACCCCCCCTTCTCCCTCACCTACTAACAGCAATCAGCAGTGGTTTGAGCCAGAGTGGGCACGGTTTGGCGATGGCAAACAGCTAAGCTCGCTCCCCACGCACCCACCCACCCATCCATCCATCCATCCATCCATCCATCCGTCCGTCCGTCCGTCCGTCCGTCCGTCCATCCATCCATCCATCCATCCATCCATCCATCCATCCATCCATCTATCCATCCACCCACCCATCCATCCAACCCACCCTTGCTAACACCCTGTATCTTGTTCTCTTAAGTGCTCCACATCTTTCCTTATTCAGAACACCATCTTATATAAATCCACATCCACATGTTAATCTGTACTGTCCGTACCTGTGTGTTTCCCTCCCGTGGCCCCAGCCCGAAACCCTAGACACTTTTTTTTTGCATGTCCCATTGCTCTTCCTTTGCTTGCGTTGCAAGCTGCTCAGCTGCAGCCTTACCCTTGAATAACACACTGCTTCCGTCCTGCACCGTCTGTCCCTGCAGGTACTTCCAGCATGCAGCAGCACCGGTCTATGGACTCTCACGTGACCTCGCCCTTTTCCTTGCCTTCAATGGGTCAGCCTTGCCCCTTCATGCCCACTGGACATTTGCACAGACTGTCCTCCCCTCCTGCATTTACATGCCCCCACCCTCTCCCCCACCCTCTTCCTCTCGCTGCTGTAGAAAATATCTTCTCCCTCCCTCAAAGAAGCCCAGTCCGTACATCTAAAGCTGTACTCCATCCCAGCAACATATACTTCCATTTCACTATTATTTCCTTCAGTATATCCCCGTTCTCGCACCGAGCTTCTTTCCTCCTCTTCTCTAATCATCCCTACTCTCCCCGCGCCCTCTCCCCCCCTGCACCATGGCTTCATCCCCCCATTGCCTCACTCATCCTCCGCATATTTCCCCATGACCTCATTTCCCCATGACCTCATTTCCCCATGACCTAATTTCCGCATGACCTCATCCTTGCATGCCCTCATGCACCCCATGGGCAGGCCACTACTGCATGAGTATGCGAACGAGGACATATCGGTAGGGTCGTGGATGCTGGGTCTCACCGCCACCCACCACAACGACCACCGCCTCTGCTGTGCCAGCCCTCCCGAAGGTTAACCACCTCCCTCTCCTGTTTCTGCTTCAGATTTGATCCCTTCCGGAATATTTATCATTCTCGAATACCACCCGCTTCCCTCACCCGTTTCTGCTGCATAATTTACCTCCCTTTCACCCTCCTTGCATCCACACACCCCAACAGTCTCCCCTGTCTCACTTGATTGTTCCTTGTTCATGTCTCACTCTCCTTCTCGTGATGTGGTTTCCTGGGAGCAAATCATGCAAGTACATGTAAGAGGAGTTTTAGAGCGTATATTCTAGGATGTTCCCTTACATTGTTCTCAACAGACCACCCTGGCACTACCCATTCGCCCTTCCCTCCCCAACCCACCTACCTCTCTCATGGATTTCCAATGGGATTGGTTTTGCAGAGGACTGTGGACGGAGGAGAGAGGAGAACAAGGGATGTGTGGCAGTGTCTGATTGGCGCTGTGGTGGGCTGTGCGAAGCTGTAAAGAGGATGAATGAGGTGCACCACCAGTGTGCCTGATTCCAAGCACACCATGAATAGTACCATTAGCATGAAGTGATTATTTGTGAGCAGGTCGAGACATCTGATCTGACCTTGAACTTTGGGTCATTATTGATAGGTACCAGGCTACCAGCCCAATATCATCCTTAGATTCAGTTTCAACGATTGCATCAAAACAAGAACATAATGTTGGGACATTATTGAATATAGTAAATGCTCGCTACCATGCCTAACAATGCTAAGCAACCTTCCACGTCCATATATTCAATCCTCTAAATGCTGTCTCAGAGCACTGCCATTGTTGCAATGCCTTGCACCACCATATGCTTGCTCTTGTGTAAGCCACATCATATTTTCCCAGTTTTATTTCCACTGTCACTCGCCTCGTGAAAGAGGGATGCGTGGCCGTCTGCCCGTCGGACTAATGCTAGAGGGTTCTACGGAGATGGGAAGAGAATGGAAGCAGTGCACCATGGTGTGCCTGGTATTCAAAGCCTTGTAACGGAAGTCCGCAGATATTACTCAATCACAAGCCTGAGACGGGCAAAGCTGCGAGAAGTGATACAAACGTATAACGCGGGGTCGTCGAGCAGTGTGGATGCTTAAGTTCCAACGGGAGATTGAAACTGGAGTGTGATGGAACATGGAGGAGATGAGCTCTTAAAGCGAAGGAAGAAGCCGAATAAGGTAGAACCTTGAGAAACGGAAGATTTAAGGCAGATAGTGTCACCAGCAGCTCAAGGTTAAACGCGGGTTCGAGGCTTAGGATTCTGTTTGATGATCTTGAAGCAATGCTTCCTGCTCCTCGCGCATCTTAGCTCGAACATAGGAGAGGCACGGCCGGCATGTCACCTCGATGGTGCACCACCCCACGCCGATGGCGGCGACGACAACGATGACGGATACTAGCACAGAGCCCATGAGAAAGGCAAGTTAGTTCAGCAACCTAACTTAACTGGCGAAGTGACGTAACTGGAGCAAAAACCGACTCACAGGAAGCAAGCAGAATAACACTACCTACGGTATGTTCATTGATAATTGTTTCAAGTCACTATGCCACAGCAGCAAAAAAGCAACTTGGTAGGTGAGCAGTTAATCCAGATTCGTGGTGAGCCAGGTTGCGTACTGAAGGGTGTGCCACAATCGAAAGCTGCTTCTTGGTTCAGACGCCTCCGTGGCGGGTAAATTCGAATCTGCGACAGCCCGACAACGTAGGCCGTCGTCGATTTGTCCTATGAAGCTGCCGAACCAGCTTCAGCCAATTATGGAGTTCTGCCCTCCGAGCCGTGGTTAGTGCCTTTTCCGCCGTGGAGTTCTGCCCTTGGCAACAAATGAAGGAAGATTTTTCTCGACTTTTAGAGAAGAATAAATCTCATTCAGTAAGAACCACTGGGAAACACGTCCGTACTTACTCAGCATCACTGGAGGTTGTGACCAAGGGAGGAGTCCGTGTTTGCTTGGAGTTACGGAGAGTATTGAATAAAAAACAAAGGAACTGCCACACCTAAATTACGTGGGCCAATGACGGTCCGTAAGGTTTTTCTTCTGGAATGAACCAGGCCGTGACTCGCTACAAGTGTGTCCACTATTTCTCTAAACTCTTCATGCCTTCAAAACGCTCGAAAATAACATTCACCCAAAAATATAAAACAACACAAAGCAGAAACGATTATGGTCACACAAAGCATAAACAGTTATAGTCACATCTTTTGTTACACCTCCCTTTTATTTTGGCACAACCACTGCATTTGAGGTGTTATGAGTTGTAAAAGAGAGTGCGCAGTTTAACGAATAACGATAAGTGATTGAACAAACTGATTATAAAATGAAGGTACATGCTTATATAATGAGTAGGCTAGTTGGGAGGGAACTTCGTGTGAGTGAGGTTGGGTGCAGGTTTGGCGAAGAGGAAAACCGAAGGCGACGCGAGGAGGCTCGGCATCGTTGATGTCGGCCAAACGTGCAGAGTCCGAAAATCGGGGCTGTACGCAAAGCAGTCAACCCCGATAAGGAATTCGGGAAAATTCCTTACACTACCCCCCCCCCCCCCCCCCCCCCTTAAGCAAGGTGGTCAATATCCGCGGCACGCTTGCGGGCGAGATAATCACCAATAAGCGAGGAGTCTGCAAGCGAAGCGGATGGTACCCACGTGTCGTCCTCACTGGTGCGGTCAGTCCAGCGGATTAAAAAATCCACGTGGCGGCCGGCGGCATCCAGGCGAACACGATGCGCCAAGATCTTGGACGGGTCAAGGGTCGGTTCGGGCACCGGGCGTGCCGTTGGTGTAGCTGGTTGCCGAGCGATGTCGGTCGTGGAAGGCACGAATTTGCGAAGTAAGCTGACATGGAAGGCATCATGAATTCGCCAGTCGTCGGGTAGCAGCAGCTTCGCGGTGACAGGTGTCACCATCTTGACAATTTTGAACGGTCCGCAGAATCGTGGCCGCAATTTCGATGGGCCTGGGAAGTGCAGGTTCTTCGTGTCAAGGAGGACTAATTGCCCAGCTGTCAAGACGAGTTCCCGTCGTAAAAGGTCGGCGTATTTCCGGGAAGTGGTATTCGCCTTGCGAATTGCGTTTGCAGCCTTTTCGCGTACTTCTTGTAGTTCCGTCACGAAGGTTTGTGACCGTGGGACCGGATTGTCGAGTGTAGTCGTGGTAGGCACCATCGGGTCCATCCCGTAATTCAAAAAGAACGGGGAGTGATTAGTCGTGCTGGACGGGGCATTGTTGAAGGCGAACTCCAACATGGCTAGCGAGTCCTCCCAGCGAGTAGGATCGGAGCAGTTGGTCCGTATCAGTTGTTCCATTGTCTGATTGGTCCGCTCGGTCTGGCCATCTGTTTGTGGGTGGTATGCGGAGGAGAATTGTAGTTTCGTGCCGTACTGTGCCCATGTCTCTTTCAAAATTTTGACGTGAACTTCGGGTCCTGGTCGCTGATGATCGCCGATGGAATTCCGTGCAGTCGCACGACCGTTGAGATGAATAGACGCGCGGTTTCTTCGGCTGTGATTGTCGTACGACATGGTGCGAAGTGCGCCATTTTCGTGAGGCGATCGACAACGACGAGAACGGCGTCGTTGCCGGATGGTCCAGTTAGCATCCCCGTGACAAAATCTATTGTCACTTGTTGCCACGGTCGTTCGGGTGGCTCGAGGGGTTGCAGCAGTCCGGCTGGCCGTTGACGTGTTGATTTCATGGCCTGGCACACCCTGCATGAGTGTCAAAACATATATATAGCTTATGCTGTTGTGTAGGCTATAGTGGGGTATCCCATAGGGGGTACAACCAAATTAGGGTTTCCTATATGTACTCACTTCATTCATAGTTCATTCATTCTTGTTCAAATCTTCTCATGGTATCGAGCAGGTTCCCCCTTGGGAACTGTGCTTAGGGCCCACCACATCGATTTTTTTTTCCTGCCCGAAGCGCGCTCAGCCCGAGTCGCGCTCCGGGCCCTCACTTCGTCGAGCCGCCCTAGCGGCCCTTCACTGCGACCCCGCCACTCGTCTCAGCGGCCCCGCCGCCCGTCTTCGCGGCCCCGCCGCCTCTCTCCTAGCGGCCCCGCCGCCCTACCTAGCGGCCCCGCCGCCCTACCTCGCGGCCTCGCCGCCCTATTGCGCGGCCCCGCCGCCCTACCTAGCGGCCCCGCCGCCCTTACTCGCGGCCTCGCCGCCCCATTGCGCGGCCCCGCCGCCCTACCTCGCGGCCTCGCCGCCCCATCAGCGGCCCCGCCGCCCTATCAAGCGGCCCCGCCGCCCTTCTCTGCAGCGGCCCCGCCACTCCTCTACAGCGGCCGAGCCGCCCAGCAGCAGCGCAGCCGAGCCGCCCAGCAGCAGAGCAGTCGAGCCGCCCTGCAACCGAGCCGCCCGGGAGCCGAGCCGCCGAGCCGCCCTGCCGCCGAGCCGCCCTGCCGTCGAGCCGCCCTGCCGCCGAGCCGCCCGGGAGCCGAGCCGCCCAGCAGCCGAGCCGCCGAGCCGCCCAGCTGCCGGGCCGCCCTACTGCCGAGCCGCCCGACCTGCCCTGCCTGGTGAGCACAGCACCACTGTTACTGCGTGCCCTTCCCCTACTGCTTGCACTACTACACTGTCGTCGTCATGGCTACCCCTAGTGTCCTCGCTTTTGACGCTGAGGGTCGAGCCATTGACTTTGAGGTCTGGGTTGACGACCTGCAGCTGTTCTTACAATGCGATAGGGCGGACGGTCTTTCCCTCTTTGACCTCACCTCTGGCGCCTCTCCTGCCCCTGCTGCTGATGCTGACCCCACTGTTCGCTCTCAGTGGGCCACCCGCGATGCTGCTGCACGTCTTGCTGTGCGTCGCCACCTGCCTACCACTGAGCGCGCGCACTTTAGTCAGTACAAGAGTGCTCAGACCTTGTACGACGCTGTAGTTGCGCGCTACTCTTCCCCTGCCACTGCTGCCCTGAGCCGCCTCATGCTACCGTACCTCTTTCCTGACCTTGCTGCCTTTCCCACTGTCGCTGACCTCATTACGCACCTCCGCACTAGTGACACTCGCTACCGCGCCGCCCTTCCTGCTGAGTTCTGCTCCAAGAACCCCCCCCCCATGTACATCACTCTCTATTACATAGTCACACGCCTCCCTGACTCCCTTCGCGTAGTCAGGGACCACTTCCTCTCAGTCTGTCCCACCACTCTCACTGTCGACCTCCTCGAGAAGTCCCTCCTTGCGGCGGAGAAGAGCATCGTCGCTGTAGGAGCCTCTCGTGGTGACCCTCGCACCCCCATCTTTGAGGGGTGTTCTCCTTCCCCCCTGCTGCCCTCTGTTGCCTCTGCTGCTGCTGCCGACCTGCTTGGTCTTGAGTCGGTCTGCGCGGCGTCTGCCCCTAGCGGGAGACGCCGCCCTGGCAGGGGCAAGGGGGGCAAGGGCGCGGGTGGAACTTGCGGGGGCGGTGGAGGTGGCGGTGGAGGCGGCGGAGGGAGTGGGGGTGGCGGTGGGAGTGGTGGCGGGGGCGGTGGTGGCGGTGGCAGCAGCGGAGGAGGAGGCGGTGGTGTCGGCAGCGGTGGGAGCGGAGGCAGCGGTGGTGGTGGAGGTGGAGGCGGCGGTGGCGGAGGGGGTGGAGCTGGTCGGGGTGGTGCCCCGCAGCGTAGCGGCTCTGGTGGTGGCCAGCGTCAGCAGCAGCAGCAGCAGCAGCAGCAGCGTTCGCGGGACATCCCCCCGCCCCAGCAGCTCCGTGAGTGGTACACGCAGCGTCAGCGGGGTGGGGGTTTTGGTCCGTGCACCTACGTCCTTCGTTCCGGCGACCGCGCGGGTGAGCAGTGTGGGGGTGCCCACCCCACCCAGCGCTGCTTTGGCCGCCTGACGGACGCTTGGCGTCAGCAGTTCCCCGAGGCCAGTGAGATTCCCCGTTGGGGAGAGCTGTCTAGGGCTGGCGTAGCTATCTTTGATCTTGACTTTGATGCTA